GGCGTCCCCAGGGTGTCCCCATGGTCCTAAGGGTCCTCAGGGTGTCCTTAGGGTGTCACCAGGGTCCTCAGGGTGTCCCCAAGGGCTCCTCAGTGTCCCCACAGTCCCTTCAGTGTCCCCACAGTGACCCCGAGGGTGTTGTGTCAAGGCCTTCGACGAGTCTGGAACCGGCGTCCCCAGGGTGTCCCCAGGGTGTCCTCAGGGTGTCCTCAGGGTGTCCTCAAGGGCTCCTCAGCATCCCCAGGGTCCCCAAGGTGTCCCCAGAGTCCTCAGCATCCCCAGGGTGTCCCCAGGGCGTCCCCAGGGTGTCCCCAAGGGCTCCTCAGCATCCACAGGGAGTCCCTAGGGTCTCCAGGGTGTCACCAGGGTCCTCAGGGTGTCACCAGGGTCCCCATGGTGTCCCCAGGGTGTCCCCAAGGGCTCCTCAGCATCCCCAGGGTGTCCCCAGGGTGTCCCCAGGGTGTCCCCAGGGTCTCCAGAGTGTCCCCAGGGCATCCCCAAGGGCTCCTAAGCATCCCCACAGTGTCCCCAGGGTCCTCAGGGTGTCCCCAGGATGCCCCCAGGGTCCCCAGGGTGTCCCCACGGTGCCCCCCAGGCACTGAGACACCCCCCCAAACCCCCCCTCTCTGTTCCCCCCTTCCCCAGGCACTGCAACATGGTGCTGGAGAACGTGAAGGAGATGTGGACCGAGGTGCCCAAGAGCGGGAAGGGCAAGAAGAAGTCCAAGCCCGTGAACAAGGACCGCTACATCTCCAAGATGTTCCTGCGCGGGGACTCCGTCATCGTCGTCCTGCGCAACCCCCTCATCGCCGGGAAGTAGGAAACCCACCCCAGGAGCCCCCCCGGGATCCTCCGGGACCTTCTTGGCTCCTTCAAGACCCTCCTGGATCCTTCCAGACCCTCCTGGATCCCCCTCGACCATCTCAGGTCCCTCAAGACCCTCCTGGATCCCCCTCGACCATTTCAGATCCTCCAGGACCCTCCTGGATCCCTCAAGATCCTCCTGGATCCCCCCTTGACCCTCTCAGATCCCTCAAGACCCTCCTGGATCCCCTTCAACCATCTCAGATCCCCCCGGACCCTCCTGAATTCCCCAGGACCCTCTTGGGTCCCTCAAGACCCTCCTGGATCCCCCTCAACCATTTCAGATCCCCCAGGACCCTCCTGAATTCCCCAGGACCCTCTCGGGTCCCTCAAGACCCTCCTGGATCCTTCAAAGCCCTCTCAGATCATTCAAGACCCTCCTGAATCCCTCAAAACCCTCCTGGGTCCTCCACAACCCTCTCAGATCCTCCAGGACCCTCCTGGATCCCTCTCAACCCTCCCAGATCCCCCTGGATCTTCTCCAACCCCTTAAGACCCTCCAGGACCCTCCTGGATTCCCCCACGACCCTCCTGGATCCCTCAGGACCCTCATCAATTATCCAGGACCCTCCTGGATCCCCCCACCAGGTCCCCTGGGGGAGGGGGGGGGTCTCAGTGTGTCCTCGAGCCCCTCAGGATGAGCCCACCCTGTCCTGGGGCCCCCACCTTGTCCTTTCCCCCCCCCAGGGGGATTTTGGGGGT